AAGTTCGCCCTCCTAAAATCTAGGGCCACCACCTGACTGCTTGCCTTTGCCACCTTGCGCTGAATGGTGAATTCTAGCAGGCAGTGGTCACTGTCGCCCAGGGGGTCAAGCACCCACAGCACCCTCACCAGGTCGTCGCCCGTGGCCAACACCAAGTCCAACAAGGCATCCCCCCCGGTGGGGCTGCGCACCTCCTGGGTTAGGTGAAGGTCCTGGACTCTCTCCAAGAACCTATGTGAGCACTCGGACCTGGCCAACTGCTCTTCCCAGTAGATGTCTCTGCATCTTTAAAATATCCTATAGTAGAATTAATATTGCCACACAAAAAATAAGCACTTATTTAGTCCCAGACAACTTGATAACATCTCTTTCAACTATAGTTATAATTATCATGTACGAACTTCCAAAGCAGAAGTTGTCAAGATTTAACATTAGCATTAATTTATGTCATAACTGACTGTTACTATAAAGATAATGGCAAAGAATCCATTTCTCCAAAGACAGCATGGATCGAAAAGGAAATTTCATCTTAATTGCCACTAATCTGCCCATTTTTAATTAAATTGATCTGTAATTTATTATCTTTCCTGGCCTTTGAAAGCTGTTATCATGAAGCTTCGACAGACAGCATACACCTCTACTTCTCCAACACTGTCATGTTTTAAAAAATCCCTGAAAAGCACTGCAGGTTATTTGCTTCAATTCCAGTTCTCCATGCTATATATATCCTGTTTAAAAAGTCTTTACAGACTGGTAATCTCTTTGAACTAGCAGTGCAGCCTAATTGGCCTATTATTTCAGAAAGAAATCCAGATTTAGAATTCTCATAATCCAGCCTATTGGCAAAATCCTGGCTCCACCAAAGTCATGGGCCTCAGTGGTGTCAGAATTTCACCAATGACCTTCAAAGCAGCTTTTCTAAGCAAAGTAACAGCATGGAACATCTTAAACCAAGTCACATTCTCTTAGCTGAACTCAGAGTAGCAGTGACAATGGCTTCAGTGGATTTCATACCTTCAGCTAGAAGAAACAGTGGCTGGGTAGCAGTCAGAAAGAGAAGAATTGAACATGGAAGACATCTGACAGCTCCCCAACTGTAGGATACTAGCATTTAGTTTAAACCAATCAAAGGGCAATAACATGTTTAGTCATCTCTTTATAATCTTAGACTTGCAACCAATTAACTTCTGCAGTTTTGGCTATAATGGACAAAATGCTTGTGTGTATCAATCAATTTCCAAAATTAGCAGAAAATGAATTCCAGTATCTTAGCCAACATGTTTTTCTCTTAATAAAAATGTTAAAAAACTCAGTCAAGTTAATGTTGAGTTCATGATAGATTTAGAACCTGTTCTTCAGAATACCAGCATCAAAATCATAATGGTTAATTATTTCAGAATACGCTGAAAAAGAAATGCAATGCAAAAACAAATTCGATCACTTCTGATTTTTTTATAATGCACAAAAACTAATGCATACATCTTCCCACTGATAAATAAACAAATGTACACAAAATAAGACAGAGCTTATAGGAAGTAATCAAGTTAGAAATTATGTCATTTGTGTAAAACTTGGAGAATTATGCTCTACTGACTATATCTAAATAGGTCTAACAATTATACTTTTTGTATTCTTTGGCATACAGCTTTTATTATTATTGACATTTATTTAATATATAAGAACAAGTGTTTTGGCCTAAAATAGGGACTAAGCAATCATCTTACATGGGGAATAAACAGAAATTAAATTAAGCTTCCAATGTGTAAATTCACACTAAGAAAGAATAAAAGAAAAGGTAACTAAAATCATAACACAATAATAGAAACATCTAAAAATATTCAAACTTTCCTGAAGGCATCAGTGGGTCATTGATTTAAAAGGCTAAATGTTTATCCCAGTTATTTGGCTGTCATGCAACATACCTTAACAAGTTTCAAAAGGTGGTAAAGGTCTTCAACCTCATCTCCTTCACACCTGGTATATACTCTTCCAATGTCCACACTGGTTCCTTTTATAGTGCGACGATAAAGGGGCAAGTCCATTGCGTCAGCATACAGGTCAATGGCATGGTGTCCTACTGTCTGAAACATGTAGCTGTCCAGCTCATCTGTCTCCGCTGCCATAATTGAAGAGGCAAATATGATATGAAATGTATCATATCAAAGATACTGAAAACTCATAATACTTTAAAGCAAACTTTTACAACATGTCGGCCAAAGTAAAAATGGCTTGGCTCCAAGGTGGGCCACTGTATTGCTCCTGTTCACTTCCTCTGCAACCCCCTACCTGCTGCTGCATGGCACCCTATTTCACCCTGGACCAGTATTTCCCAAACCTGGTGGGCACTCCCATACCTCGCTACTTCAGCCATCACTACTGCTTTCGACTGTTGCAAAGTCCAGCCAATTGCCATCATTGGTGGCAATGGTCAACAGTGGATCCAGTGGCAAGAAAAGCAGTGGCTGCAAAAAGGCAGTGCAGATTCCTCACAAGGCACCGTCCACTCTGTTACCCCTCTCACAGGCCAGATCCAGTCCAGAGGTGCCATAAACTGTCAACCTCTACCTTATGCATTAAGGGTACCTAATTCTGAGTGTCTCTAGTTCACTAACACAAATGTTTATGACAGCATCTGTACAAACATGAAATAAAATTAAGTAGGTATTTCCACTTAGAAAGTTATACAGCAATATATGTGTCATAAATCTATTGACTTCTAAACTGAGAAGCCCATTTCTCCCTTAATACTTCTAAGTACTTCATATTCAAATTCTTTATGATGGGTCCAACCTGACTCTTAATAAAGCAAATAAGAGTTTTTGCTGTTGGCTGCCAGAGAAGCACATGTTCAAAGGCACAGCCCCAGAATCTGTAACTGGATTTCAAACTTCTGTATACAAAAGACATGGGACCAGATGTCTTCTTATGCATCTAAATAGGACTTAAGTAACCAAAGTTTCAAAAAGCAATTCAAATGTGTCCTGTACCAGCGACCACAGCACTCACTAAACACCTCCAATTTGGACTGAAAAAAATCCCTAAAAGGCAGCTATTCTAGGGCTTCCAAGCATACTCACAAGCAACTCAGATGGTACATGTAGGCACATTCATAGAACTTAACCCCTGCCAAAGATTTTTTTCAGATAAGCAAGGGGTAGGTGCATTTCAGAATGTTCCCCCCTAGATAGGCTTCTGTTGGAAGGTAGAATTCTCAACTTCTCTTCAAATCAATGATGGTAGTGGTAGCAGTACCCTTCTTTGGACCAGCAGAATCATGGTTAGAGCACTCACGCGAAAAGCGGAAGACCAGAATTTCAGGGAAGCCTCCGCAGGCACGTCCAGATGAGCATGCAAGTGCATTTCCCCAGGGCCAAAGAGCAGCATCACAATATGTGCCACTGCTACTTGTCCCTGGGGAACGTCCATGGCCATGCGCTTTGGCACATGGCAAGTTGTCCCAAGTGGGAGCCAGCACCTGGGCTGGCCCCATCAACCTTACCCAGAGTTCTGGGAGCCTCCCATGGTCCCAGCAGCAGCAATCCAGCAGTAACAGCTGGAACGTGGTTCTGGCCACCCAGGCTCTGGTTCTGGGCAGCACACGCTGCCGCCATGTGCACCGCCCCACATGTTTGCACTGCGGGTTTTTTTGACACCGGGATCTCTCAGTATCAGAAACACCTCCTATGCTGCAAATCAGCAGCACAGGGAATGCAGTGTGTGCGGTAGGCAGTGCCACATTCTGCACATGCACACTCGTCTGGACATGCCCAACCTGAGGGAATTTAAACCTGAGGGAATTAATCCCCCTGAGGGGATCTGGATAGGTTACAGGGGTGGTCTAACAGGAACAGGATGCGTTTCAATACAGACAAGTGCAGGGTGCTGCACTTGGGCAGTAGGAACCAGCAGCACACTTACACAATGGGGAACTCCCTACTTGAGAGCACGGAGGCAGAAAGAGATCTTGGAGTCATTATTGACTCCAAGATGAACATGGGCCGACAATGCGAGGTCATGGTTGGCAGGGCTAACCGGACCTTATCGTGCATCCACAGGTGCATCTCGAGTAGAGCCAAGGAGGTGATCCTCCCCCTCTACGCGACGCTGGTCAGGCCACAGCTGGAGTATTGTGTCCAGTTCTGTGCGCCCCATTTCAAGAGGGATGTGGACAATATGGAGAGGGTCCAGAGGAGGGCCACCCGCATGATCCGGGGACAACAGGGCAGACCCTACAGTGAGAGACTGCGGGACCTGAACCTATTCAGCCTCCACAAGAGAAGGCTGAGGGGGGACCTGGTGACCGTCTATAAACTCACTAGGGGGGACCAGAAGGGTTTGGGGGAGACGCTGTTTCCCCTAGCGCCCGCTGGCATAACAAGGAGTAATGGGCACAAGTTGATGGAGAGGAGGTATAGATTGGACATCCGCAAAAACTACTTCACAGTTAGGGCGGCTAGGAGCTGGAACCAACTTCCAAGGGAAGTGGTGCTGGCCCCTACCCTGGGGGTCTTTAAGAAGAGGCTGGATGCCTACCTGGCTGGACTCATTTGAGTCCCGTTTTTGTTTTGGGGTTTTGTTGTTCTCCCGCCCTGGCAAGGGGTCGGGCTAGAAGATCTACTAGGTCCCTTCCGACCCTAAATCTATGAAACTATGAAACTATAAACCCATACTGCTCCACCCCCCCGCCAAAATTTCTCTGTGGGCAGCTGATAGCACGTGAGTCAATAGGGCCAGAAGGAGATCAAAAGGGAGCATGACAAGCTGAGGGGGAAACAGCAAGATAACCAAGCTGTTATGTAAAACAGAGGTTAGTAACCTGGCCAAATCTGGCCCACACAGCCATTTGATCTGGTCCACAGACACAGGGCTTCAGCAGCCAGACCAACACAGTTCAATTCAAAAGGAAGCAAGCACTAGGACCCAGCTGCCACTGCCACTTTTCCCTGCTGCTGGGAAAAACAGGAAGAGTGGCAGCAGGTCTAGCACCCACACTACATGCACTGGCCCACCTCTGATCCAAAGTGGGTTGATTTGACCTGCAACCTGAAAAGGCTGCTGAGCCCTAATGTAAACCATTATGCTATTTCAGAAACCATTATGTCATGTCAAAACTAGTTCAGTACAGGGCAGGTATTTGCTCAAAATGGTCTGAAGGGGCTTGTTAGTCAAACAAACCAACATGGACCAGAGAAGTTTATTTTAGAAGAAAATACAATAATTAAAACATATATAAAATGTGATGCTTAAAAAAACCTGACATTGTCCCTTTAAGCTGACATCCGCTTCCAAATACTAAGTTTATCTATTAATTGCGACTCTCCAGGCAACACTGGTACAAGATAAAAAAAAAAAAAAAATGAATGGGATAGGTTCCACTGCTGCCTGCAGCACCTCAGTTAGCTTTCCACAAAGTTTCCTACTACACACTTAAAGGGATCATTTTATGATTTTAATGACAACATTCTACATTTTTTATGTGGATAAATTAGTTTTATGAAAAACATATTTCAACAAGATTAGCAATGTTGTTGCTCTGGCTACCATGGGAATAAATTGCTCTAATCTATTCCCTGATATTCCCCTACTCTACTGGTGGCTCATTCCTGACTTAGGAAACATTCACACCTCTTTCTTCAATTCCCTCAGAAATCTCCAGTTTGGAGAGACTTGGGGACTCCATTTCATTTGCACTGCATCGGGAAATCCCCCTCTTACACTGGAACAAAAGACTCTTCTCAAATCGCACCTTAAAACCTTCCTGTTCCTCTTTATTTATAACTGCTGCTACACCCTGCTTACCTCTCATTACTGTAATTATTGAACCCTCTCATTCTCCCCTTCTTGTGACTGGATTAGAAGAAAGTGTTTTTGCTTTTCCTCCCTTTAATGTGTAGGATCATTTCTTTTGCCATTCCTCATTTTCTTATGTTTTTTCCTCTCTTCAGTTACTCTGATTAAGAGTTGTTTTAATGAACTCTAAATTGCCCTCTCCCCTCCACCTCTCTCTGTAAATATTTTAGAATACCTCCCATATGTGAAGCTATATACAAATGCACAACAGGATTTAATTTAGGCACAGCTGTGCCATGGTATTTTCCTATTCAAAGAATCCTGTAGGCCAGGCCTGTCCAACTGGCAGCCAACAAGGAGTTGGTTTGTGGCCTCCCAGGCCTGCAGGAGGCCACCACTCCACGCACATTACTCCAGCTCCAGCTGGAGGCTATGAGCTTCCCCTCCCTCTGGCTTCTTTCTGTTCCTCCCCAGGTGGAGGGGAGTGGCACAGCTCACAGTGCTCAGAAAGCCCATAGCATGGGGAGCAACAGGGTGCAGGGAGGGAAGGCACTGCCCATTTGTCTGGTGCAGTATGGGGAAAAAGAACATATGTGCCCAGCGACCCTAGGGAAGAAATGAAGTAGAAGGAGAAGCACCCAGTAGAGCTTGGGGGGAAGCTCCCATGTGTGCATGGTGTGAAGTGTAGAAAGTGTCCATATGCCCAGGGCAGCAGTGGGGAGCCTGGGGGTACTTAGGGACCCATACCAGTGTATATCCCATAGCATGCAGTCCCTGCTGGTGAAGGCCATAGGTCATGTGGCCTGCAGACATTAAGTTGGACAGCCCTGCTAGAGGCAATGAGTAGGGATCACTGGAACTCACATCAGAAGTACACTGCACGGTGGTTCCTTTAATCTTGGAGTTTCCCCCACTGCAGATTGGTGGAGGGGCCCTATCAGCCCCGCTGCTTGCTCCAGATGGCCAGGAGACAAAGGCTGCAGTTTTAAATATGTTGCCTCCTGTCCGGTCAGCAGCAAGCAGCAGGGCCACCATGGGCCTTCAGCCAATCAGCAGTGAAACCCAAAAACCACAGTATATTTAAAACTGTGGTTTTCATCTCCCTGACAAGCAGGGGCAAGCAGCGAGGTCAATGCGGACACTCCACCCATCAGTGGTGGGAAGGTACATGCAGGAAACTCCTAGATTAAAGGAAGTGCTGCACAGCACACTCCTGGAGTGAATTCCAGTGACCCCTACCCTAGCAATGAGACATTCTTACCTGTGTTTTCAGCAGGCCGTAAGTTCGCTAATGCAACAATCTGGTGCCCAGCAGCCACACACTGCATCATATTGTAACAGCTGTCCTTCCCACCACTGGAATAAAAAAGAACAAATTGATTTACCAATTTCGCAAGGTTACTGTTATAAAGCAGGACCTGCAAATAAAGTTCTCAAATATATAGTAGTTTGAAAAAGAATTATAACAGTAACAAAAACTTAGAATTGCACTAGAAACATTTTTTACAAGAAAACCAGGATGTATTTTAAAAATGCGGCAGGTTCAAACAAATAACATCCATAAGATTTATGCGTATCCCCAAATTTGCTGCTTTCTTTAAATAAAATAAAAACCCGCCTAGAAGGAAGCTGTTTGGGGCAGAAAATGTCTTTTACTCAAAGAGATCAATAATAGAACACAGAGCTTCTCTCTTCTAAAGTCCTTACTTTAAAAATCAACAGTCTCATATGATCCTGACTTTGTGTCTGCAAATAGCTGCAGACAAAAATAATTAAAATATATTTTACAGGAGCTACCTCAGCAATCCCTGTTTTTCATCAAAACTTGTAGATGCCAGGATAACAATAAAGTGTAAAATATATTTGATTTTGAAATTCATAAACCAAAATTTAAAAGTTAGCAGAATATATCAAGGGTGCAAGCATATAACAACTACAGAGGTATACCTAGAGAAACCCTCCTGTCAACCCAACAAGGTCTGAATCCTATTTGTATTGAAGTCAGTGGCAAAAATCCTACTTCAGCTGTACAGTTAAACAGTAGTAACAAAAGAAACTGATCTCTTTAGTAACTTTTTTGAGTATACTATACTAAAAAACACCACCTCCAAGTCGATAATCACTATACTACAACTAGAGTTAAGAATGTGTGCTGCCCCCCTAAGACGCAATAAGTAGCAAGTTAGGATGACTCGAGGGACTTTCAGCTGCCCCTGTGTAAATCCCAATTCTTGGCTGCTCCGCAAGCCCTGGGGGCCGTCTTAATACAATAGTCTGTTCCTCAGCTTGCTCTTGGACAAAGCATTACCTATTAATCTCAATACTGTATCCAACACACCCATCCCATACCCAGCCTCCTCCAGAGCTTGTGAAAGGACAGAATGAAGACAACCATATAGCTGTCTCACTCAGTGTCTTCCCATAAAGACATTAAACCTCTGCAATAATCCGAACTGGCTGTATTAATAAATTAAGGATTCACATACAAAAACATCAGTCTCTGCATTTGTACTTTGCCCATTGGTATATAACAAACTGCTTTCTTTTCTTTGCTGCAAAAATATAAACTTGCCAGGAAGTAAGTTTCTAATATAAGAATCTACAGCTTTTCCAAATAGCTGTGTTAAATTTCTTCTAAGGAGCAGATATAGACAACAGAATGCAGGCCTGCACCTAGTGTTTTTGGATATTGTGCTTGGTGCAGTTAATTTAGTTACAATTCACTTTTAGATGAGATAGAATGAGGACTGAATGCCTAAAGGGAATTTGTAATGGGACAGAGAATATTTTTCTTCAAGAGACTTCATTCTCATGAAATCATAAATCATAAAATAGCTTCAAATTTCAGTAGTATGGCTACATGTACTCCACTTGCAGTCAGGAAATTAAACATCTATCAGATGTACTCACCATTATTTAAAAATATTCTAGGTGCAAAATCAGAACCTAGGTCACCAGTTTAGATATCACCCTAGTCAGAGTGGCACATTCACAACAATCTCAGTGGAAAGGCCATGAAATGAAATGCTGCATATTATTTTCTGTTTGGATACTAACCATTCTTCAAAAAAAAAAATGCTGCTGAACTCAAAAATGACTGCTGAAGAGCAACGCGAAGCCATGTGCTAAGATGTTTTTATGCCAGAGTTTACCATTCTCTATTTGTTCACTCATGACTGAACTTGACCACTGAAGTTCTACAAAGTAAGATTAGAGGAAAATACAGCTAGAAGGGACCACATAAAGTCATCTAGTCCAACCTCTGCTCCATCTAGGAGTGTGACAGCAAACCAGTGCCTGGATATGTATGTATGGTAACTGTTATTTTGTTTTTGCATTAATAATTGTGCATCTTGTGATAGACTAAGCCATTTTGCCAGGAGCTGTTTCATAGTTTCACAGTTAGTAGGGTAGGGTAGGAACGTGACCGTTATTCTAGTCACTCCTGGCAGTGCTTGGGGGAACAGGGACTCCCCCAATGCCGGCTGGTCCCCCCTGACTAGTTTGTAAATGGCCACTAGATCCCCCCTCAGCCTTCTCTTGTGGAAGCTGAACAGGTTCAGGTCCCGTAGCCTCTCCTCATAGGGCCTGCCCTGCTGCCCCCTGATCATGCCAGTGGCCCTCCTCTGGACCCTCTCCACGTTGCCCACATCCCTCTTGAAGTGCAGCGCCCAGAACTGGACGCAGTACTCTAGCTGCAGCCTGACCAGTGTCGCATAGAGGGGGAGTATCACCTTCTTGGATTTGCTTGAGATGCAGGTCATTATTTGTCACTAGGTTGTTCCCCCATTCAGAAGGGACTCACACTTTCCCTGATCTTTCTAATAAATTTATAATTTGTGTGTGTATAGTAACTAATTATTGGAGGGGGGGGGAGTTGTGTTACATTCAGGGTTGCCTTGTATTCAAGTACAGTGGCACCTGACTTTTTTGGCCAGCAGGCTGGATGAATGATGCCAGGTTCACCCATGGGCAGAATCTGGTCTGTGGGCCCAATCAGGCAGGCGGAAATGGCCTGGCATGGGCCTGATCCAGCTACAAAGAAACAGCCTGGCCAGGGCCGATGCCACAAAGTGGTGCCTCCATAGGGCCCAATTCTATGAAGCTGCATCAGGCCCCAACCAGGCCAGTGCCATGCACCAAAAAAGACCAAACCAAAAAAGCTTAAAATCCAAGTATAAAACAAGAGACAACTGATGGAAACAGATAGTGGGGGAGTACAAGGAGGCAAGACAATACTGGTCAACATATCATAAGCCTAGCAGGCATCACTTCAAAGAAAAGTTTTAAGAAGTGGTCTGGAGAATTATAATGGAGTAGCTTTACTGATGTTCATGGGGAGCTCCTGTCAAGAGTGAGGGCAGCAAGGAAGAAAGCACAAAGCATGAAAGTATGAATTTGAAAACCGAAAAAGGGAGCAACAGAAGTAAATATCATGGGTCAACTGGAAGCAGCTGACATGTTGAATGTGGGATGGTAAGTAGGGTGCTGCTGTGAAGGGGATGAAAAAAGGAACCAGGAACTCTGTTGTAATAGAAAATGGGAAACCTGTGAAAGGCGAAGGAGAGTGGAGACACAGTCAAACTGACAAAAAAATCTTTTGCAGCAGCATTCTGAATGGGTGTGAGACGCACCAAATTATACTGTCTAGGACAGAAAGGTATTTCAGTGGTCAAGATACTAGATGATAAGGGAAAAGTGGTTATCCCCATTTCCAGTATAGAAAAACAGAATAGGTGGGTACAGAAATGAAATGAAGAATAAAAGCAGACACTACAACTGACTCTTTTTTTTCTAAAAAGGACAGATCACTCTCAGGACAGATGAGCTGTAAACAAAAGTTTTCTCTTTATATTATTTTTGCATAGAAGCTATTTTTGCAGCTGTCATTGGGATGGAGAATGTGATTGTGAATGGGAGGGGCAGTTGGTCCAGCAATATTCAACCCTTCACTGATCATCAACTTTCACGAGCTGGCAAGTTACTGAATGGAGTCACCGTGACACCAGATAATCAAGAAGTGATGTCTGGCTTTACACTGTTATTTTTATATGACAACAAACAGTCTGAGGCCATCTCTTCATTACAGTTTTGTGGCTCTCAGGTAGTTCATTTGTCAAAATATTTCCTGTCTCATTTCAACCCTTCCTGGCTGCTCAGAAGGAAACATTTCTTATCTCTTTCTCTTTCTTTCTTTTCCTGGATGTTTGGAGCAAGGGATAGGGTTTCATTTTCTTTCTTTGCACTTCCAATACCCTCTCCTCCCTTTCCCAATGCTTACTCAGAGGTAGACAGGATGACTACTGTTTTTTCAGGACTACCCACGCTATCTCATAACGCAAGAGCAAGGCCTCCCTCACACAAGAGCTAGGCCTCCCTCAGAGGACTCTTGTCTAAGTATGATTCAGATACGAAAAATAATAGGAAGCCAATGATGGTGATGAGATGGTCTGACTTCCTAGAGGAGGACAGATGTCTGCCTTTTTAATACCCTGAAATATTAAGTAGAGATTTAGAAATGAAAAAAGGAGGAATGATAGCAGTTGATATGAGATGGCATTAAAAATTTCTCAATGGGGTAAGGCCACAAAGATGATACATTTTGGCAATGTTCCAAAGATGCTCTCAGGCAGCTTTACAGCCTGCCCCCGCCCCCCCGAATAAATAAATAAATAAATAAATAAAAGTTTAAAAGGTGAGCATAGAGATTTAACAGTCAAAACACTTTGGGGGGGGGGAAGGGGAAGGGGGACAAAAACACACCGTTACATTCCTGTGTGACTGGCTGTCCATGAAAAAAAAAAATCAGTAATTATAGTTTCATAGTTTGTAGGGTCAGAAGGGACCTGAGAA